CTAGTGTTTCATGGCTAGGTTATGAGGACTGGGCTAGTACCCAGGGGTAAGGGAGTAAAATGGAGTTGAAGTATTTTGGAGTTGGCCTGGGGCGAGCTGGGCGTAGGGGAGTCAGCAAAATACCTGGGTATTGCTTAGGGGCCAAACCTGGTGGTGGTTATACGGTGCGTGGGTGAGCTCTTACCGATGCCAAGAGAGAAGAGCAACGCAAAGTAACAGACAAGAAGTGGAGAACTTGATTGTCGTAGGGTCCTGAGGGGGATGCGAAGGATGAGAGGATCTCTGAAGATGCTCTCACAAAATGCAGACAGTGCCTGGCTTCTGTGGAGATGGGGTACAGCTGTAGTCCCCAGGACCCACCTCACAGGAGCTGTCTGGTCCACTATGTTGCTGTTGGTGGCTCTGGAGAGGGACTTACTTACTGGTGGGTTTCACCGCAGCATGGGACAGAGCAGAGCATGGGAAGCCCTGAGGGTGTTTCTGCTCTGGGCCTCATGGGGTGCCTGAGGGTAATGTGTATCACCCCAGACTGACAACTCATCCCCTCTTACTCACTCACCCTGGGGAAGGCAAAATAGACATCCATGAAGGCTTTTCTTTTGAGGAAAAGAGAGCTACGGGAGATGTTCCTGATCCAAATGATGAGACCAGCCTTTATTAACCTTATGCTTTCCCTGTCAAAAAACTGAAAAGCTCCCAAGAATTGGATTTTTAATTTTACTTTGATGCTTGGCAGAGCTTGTAAAGATCCTTCAGGGCAAGTTTGGCTCCCAGTTCGGAGGGTTGTTGCTTTGTTTGGGGGTTTTGCCGGTCTTTGCTGCTTGTAGTTCTGTAAAAATAATAATGAGGTCCTGATCTTGCGCCTATTGAATCCTAAGCAAAAAAGCCCCCATTGATTTCCAAAGGAGCAGGCTGAAGCCCTTCACAGATCGTGGTGGGAGCAGCTATTTAGCATAAGCAGGGATTGTTTGGCAAGTCTTCTAATGACCCAAACATTTTAACAAGCGGAGGAAACTCGGCGGGTAGAAAGGCTGCCCGGTTTGGGGGTGGGGAGATGCCCGGCAGTGCTTGGTGGGGGTGATCCCTGGCGCCAGCTCTCCCTCACCTCCCGTTCCTCTCTACCCGCTGTAACGCGGACTTGCCCTTCTTCCCATCTTGGTTTTTATAACCCCAGTTTTGATGCGAGCCGGTGGCAGTGTCACAGCCCGAATGCAGGCCCCGGAGGCCACGCTGACGGCCACCACCTGGGTCCCCCCCATAACTCCGGTGTGAGTCCCGTGTGGAGCCAAGCTGCAGGGCCGGCCGCCATCCCCTCACGCCCCATCAGCACTGCCATCATATCGGTGTCGGCCGGCATTAGCCCCCAGCGCCCTGATCTGCGAGACGCACAATGCGCCGGGGAGAGTCTTAATAATCCCCTGCGGGGGTCCTGGGGCGAGCTGGGGGTGAGCTGGTCCTGCCCATGGAGAGCTGGTCCTGCCCGTGGACACGACGGGACTGCTGAGCTCTGGGACCGCTTGCACGGGGACAGGAGCTGACCGAGGAGCTTTCCCAATGTTTTACAGGCAGCCAGAGAGGGGGGAAAAAAAGAATTTTTTCAGTGGGTTTGGTTTTGGTTTTTTTTTTTCATATGCCCCCTTTCACGTGCAAGACTCAAGCACAAGAAATTCCCTCCCAGCAAAATATTTTAGCAGCTTGTTTGGGGGCTGTTGGGCTTGAACTAACCTGTGATTTGATTTTTTCGCTTAAAATTTTTTAGCTTCTCTATATAGATTCCCCCAGGCAAGCGTTTCGTTTCTAGCTCGTAGCAGGATCTGTGCGAGATGAGCGTGCTGATGCCTCGAGATGGGCTTTGGGAGATGGGGGTATCGGAGCTAAAAGTGAAGAGGAAAAACCAGTTGCAATGGGAAGATTAGGGAGTTAAGGGTGCCCTGACAACTAACATGTGCAACCAAAGATAAATCCTCCGTGAACCTGTCTTTAATTAAAAGAATGATTGGAATTAGGCATAGTACCATCTCTCCTGATCCGTATCGTGTGTATCTGTACGAATAAAGCATTTTTGGGGAGGGAGAAGAGAAAAACACCAGATTTTAATCTTCCTTTGGTAGCCGATATGTCTGCCTTTTGAAAGGGCGTATTTCTCCCTGTCTTAGAGTACCCAGGCTTGTTGACAGTAAACAACTGTCACTTGGCAGTTTATGAAAGAAGAAGAATGTTTAAGAAAACATGTCCAGTTTAAATATTTGTGTTAATAGGCTGGGGATTCATGAAGAAGTGGGGAAGGCTGGTAGATTGAGGTGCATAAATTAGCTGGTATTTACTGCGTAAGAGATGAGCTGCGAGCGAATGCAGTTGGAAAAAAAAATAAACTTTAAAAATACATTAATTTTTACAGCCAGTGTGTTATGCGTGTTCTCGCAGCTTTCCGTGAAAGCTTTTTTTTTATTGTTTTTTATTTTTTCCCAGGGAAAACTCAGAGAAGTGTCTCGCTTGCAGCGTGCGGTGGGTTGGGCCCCGGGAGGCCCCTGGGTGGGACAAGCCACAGGGCTGGGAGCCCAGCAGTCTCACTCGCTGGCCCTAATGCTGCTTCACACCCCACGGGCAGCACTGAGACCTTGCAGCCACCCTGGAGTGTCCTTAGCCTTTGCTTCACAGGGGTAATCAGAAAAGGAGACTGCAAGGAAACTCTGCCTCACAATTTGCAAATTGATTAATTACAGAAAGGAGGGAAAAAAAAAAAAAGTAGTAAGAAACGGCAGATGGTGTCCTCTCTGCATCCCTGCCCAAAGTTGCTACAAATCCATCACCCACCTTCTTCTGAGTTAAACACTCGTGAACGTAGTGAATGATGAGCAAGTGTAAAGCATTTATTCCAGCTCGGCCCAAAGGCATCAGTGTCAAAAGTGTAACGAGTTGAGGGCCTGGCGTCGAGCACTTCAAATCTGTAATTAAGCATAAAAATAAGCTTCAGGCTTTCAGGCTCTTGATTTCCCTGGCTCAGAGGCAAGCACATAAGCTGCTATTGGGGGGTGCTAATAATAAACTTGAAGGTACTGGGAAAAGCCACCCTCCTGCGCCCCCCGCTCCCATCCTAGGTGGGATATACAGTAAATACATTAAGTGCTGTGGAGTTTAACTGAATTTAACATTGCTACTGTGTTACAGAGACTTAACATTTCTGTCAGCCGTGGGTATCTCAGAGGGGGACACCTTGACACCAGCACCTTCTCTTGCCCTTAATTCAGGTAGAGCAGAGGGAGCTGCAGGAGCAAATGGGAAGCCCCAGAGTATGGATGAAAGGGTCACACTTAATTCTCTTTTGTCAAGTGGTTCAGTTTAGTATTGCCGTTATTTGGACAAGGAAGCAAAGGAATCCCAAACCTGAAACCTACTGCCACAGAAATGCTTTGAGATCTGCCCAGGCAAAAAGGCAAATAACTCCTAGAAAGTGTTTACTGGGCTGTACTGGGACTCCAAACTGTGTATTATTTAGTGAAGGAGTGAGATTTCTGCCTCATTTTTACATGTAGGCGTGCTGGCATCTTGGGATTTGACAAAGCAGTGGGCTTCTCCATCGGGAAAGTCTTTGTGGAGGGATGGGAACGGCAGAGGGGGGGGGGGGGGGCACAGCAGGGTTTCTCCTTCGCCCCGTCTCCCATAGTGCAGGGGCAAAAAGGGGCAGGTTTGTACCCACTGCTCCAATTTTGGCGGTGGTAGCTGCCCGCCTGTGCCGGATCTGCTGACCCCAAGCGGTATAAATCCTTCTGTGAAGAGCTGTCTGCGTGCTCTGAACAAGGTCATCTTGTGGGTGGAATGTGTTAGTCCTGGCAAAAAGGGCCTGAAACCTCTTCAGGTGCTTCCAAAATACATGTAGGTGTTTGAAGTGGAGGTTTTCTTCCCCTCTGCCCCCCTCCTCCCCGTGCATAGCAAATGAGGTGTGGACAAGTGGTGCAGTCTTTGTAGGAATAACTTCACCCGGTGCTTGAGCCTGGCTCTTCTGGGAATGAGAAAAAGAAGCTGGAGGAGCAACGTGTGGTGTCTCAGGGCAGGGAGGAAAGGAGGTGACCCTGAATTAGCCACCAGCCCTCAGAAAGGGAGTGGAAGGGCCTGACCCCAGTCAAAACTTGGGTCTCACTGCTAAGGGCAGCTCTTGCCCCACATATGGGTGTATACACCAATGTGGATAAATAGGTGTAAATATCTGGGGAGGTTGTCCAACTAGTTGTCCAACTAGTGTCTTCACTAGTGGCTGGTACGAGGTGGTGGTTCTTCCACTTATCCCACCCAAGGAAAGTGTGGCTGAAGCTTAGCTTCAGTGCCTGAATTTTAGACATATCCAGCCCTCGGTGGATCACTTTTTATCATCCACATTTTCCATTTCGCAGAGATAGATGGCTATTTTCTTTCTCCCTTGGCTTGCCTGTTGCAATGGCTATCCCTGCTATCACAACAGCATCCTTCTCGGACACTTGGGTGCTCATTTGCAGCGAGAAGGAGGTTTTAAAAGTGTTTCTCATGGGGGAAGGAAGGAAAAAGCTGGGAAACTCAGATTGTAGAGGATGGGGCAGGCATCCAAAAGTACCTGTGCAAGGTCCCTGGCTTGTGCCAGTAGGACCAGCCGTGTCCTGCTGCAGGACACTGGAAATAACCCTCTGCAAAAGGTCTGCCTTATGGCAGCGTTAAAATAGAAGTGTATAGAGGTGTCTAACCTGCATCTGGCATTATTGGAGCCTAACGTAGTACGGTTTGTAGAAGATGGTTATTTGGGGACATTAAAACTGCTTGAAGGGAGTGGGAACTGAGACACGCATGACTTCCTTGAACTCTCTCTTAATTTATTACGTGCAGTCCAAAATCCTCTGTAATAGATACGGTTGCAGGAGACCATTAAAAGGTCCGTTCTGGTGAACCTGATGCCCTGCTGTTGCTGCTGGAAATGATAAACTGCTGCGTTTGGGTTGGATGGTATGTGATGCCCTATGTGTGTGCGCGTATGCATGGAAGCCGGTAAGTCCTGCTAATTTAGGGTTTGTTTTCCAAGTCTGTTTTCTATAACTCCATAGACTTAATACAAATAAAGAACTGACCAAGTTTCCTGTGAGAAGCACAGAACAAACGCTAAGCGTGGGATTTGAATGCAGAAAGGTGAAAACACAAATGTATACAGAAACAGTGAGTCAAACAAGCTGAAAAAATATTGTAAGGTTGATTTAACAGAGCAGTGAACTCAAAGCTGTCTAATCCCTTTAGCAGCCTTCTTTAAAGAGGAGAAATACAAGAATTTTTGACTTCTACTTTTCTTTTGCCATCTCTCCCAACTCTTTCTAATAACGCTGACGGATAAGAGTTGAGTTTAGCAGAAGGACAGAGTGTTGCAGCTTTAGTTAGATGTGCTTTCTAAATAACAAAACCTTCGTTTGTCATTCGCGACTCCAGATTAAAGTGGATCAGGCTTCCTGAAAGGAGATTACTGTTAAACTTCTCCAACTTGGGTACCTGGCACCTAAATCTCGCTTGAGGCACTGAAATAACAGGCTTGGTTTTGAAAGATGCTGAGCCAGGTCAGGCTCTGCATTTAAATCGTTTAAGCACTCTTAAAATCTGGCTATTCATTTTGATGCCTAGATATGGATTTCTGGGCTTAATCACCGACCTTTGCATTTCAAATGTTTGGTCTTTGTTTTCTTTACTAAGTGTGCAGACAGAGTGGCCCCCAAATTATTTTTTTTTTCCTTTCACACAGCTGAAAACAGCTAGTAGAGAAGACTTGAAGTCCTGCGTCTTATTACAGAGAAATAGGGATCTTTGAAAAACACCATTTTATGTAACTCAAGGGAAACATGTAAAAAGGGGAATATTTACTTATTTTCATTCACGTGAACATGATCCATCATATATCTAAAACCCACAATCAGCTGGAAAAAAAACCCACCCAAACTACCCTAAACCTTTGCCCTCTCTTAATCCGTGTACAAGAGGTTTTTTTATTTTTTTTTAGATGTGCTTTTTTCCCCCCCTGAAATAGAGGCAATTGATAGGCTCATAAACAAATACCAAACATTAAGTCCTAATCTCCATATAGAGGAGCCTGACCCTTTTTATGGAGAGAGAGGGTAGAGGGAGGAAACGGGGCCAGGAGTTTGAGGTTTAATGCTTATTAAAGTTTTAGTGGGTGGGAAAATGCAATCAATAAATTTTGTTTAATGCCTCGAAACTGGTGTTAGTTTTCACTAGCTACACTGGAGAGTAGTTTTCATTTTGAAACTAGGACACTCGTAGTTGGAATGACAATTAATGTGGAGTGAATATGGCCCCAGTTGGAAGCCGATTTTTTGAATAGCACGAAAACTCCCCCCACCTCCCCGCCTTGGCTCCGGAGTGGGGTAGCTTCCGTTTTTAATTAGCAAACCAGGCAAAATTTAGCTCATTGTGTCTTTCTGCTCCTTTGGCCCAGTGGATAGCTTGGATTTCTCCATCTTGCTGTCATGAGGCTGTTCTTTTTTTTTTTTTTTTTCCTTCAGTTTTGGTGCTGGGAGGAAGCGGGGGGCTTCAGGATATTTAGGATTAAAGTCATTGTTCAGGGGTATTTGCAGCCAGCTGCCTGCATTAAATGAAGATTAGAGGAGCGCACATTAAAAGTGCGAGGGAAATGCAGAGGAGCTGGGATTTGGGAGCTGCATAGCTGTGAACCGAAGGGGAAAGGTTGGGGCTTTATGGCAATTTTTTTCTGATGCCATGTGATCTCAAAGCCCACTTCAGAAAAGCATCGCAAGTACCAGAAAAGCATCACAAGTAACTGCCAGGGCCAGACCTGCCTGGGAATTCTAAGGGGACCGTAAGTCTTTGCATCTCTCAAAAGCTCCTCCGAGGTAAACCTTGACACTTTTAGGCCTGGTGAACTTATGTATTGTTTAAAAAATTCATCCACAAGAGCAGTTCAGAGGTGGTGAAAGTTTTGCTGGAATTCACTAATTATCTGAAAACCCAACCTGAAGGTCAAGAACTCCAAAAGTAATGAATCTTTGAAGGAAATTAGGTAGGAAATGAGGGCATAGAGGAGGAACCCAGAAAAAATAACTCAAAAGAATTGTTCAGCAATGTACGCTTATTCTTTTAAGGGCTTAATAAGACAGTTTAAAAATATTTCCAAAGATTGTGTTTCCCTCATTCCGTTGTGCTTTGTAAAGCACTTGTTTGTGTAGTCTGCAGTTCTTATTGCAAACTTTGGTAATTACTTGGTGTGTGTCGCCTACAAAGTCCCAGCAAAGAGACTTTGCCTGGTCCAGCAAAGCAGGAGGGATGGTATAGCGCACTGATGCTAAAGAACATGGGTTTGCTCAGGGCCTCCATGCTTTGGCAGGACTCAGTCAAGCTTTGCTCAGTGTGTTGGGATGCTGGGAAGCCTCAGTTTCCATAGCTGCCTCCACTGGCTTTGGAAAGGGGTTGTGGTGGCCTGCTTGCTTGCTGCAATGATAAGGGTTTTTTGGACTTCCTCAGGTGTGAGAAGCAGCAATGTAAAAACATTAGCTGTTTTGTGGTGGGATCTGTCTGTCCATTGATGATGAAGTGAAGAATATTTTATATCAGTTCTTTTACTTCTGTTAAAAAACAAAAACAAAAAAAGATTGCAGAACTATGAGATCAATAGATACAGGTGGTGGTTGCTTTGGTCTTTGATGTTTTCAGGGGGGAACCAAGAAAAGTGTTTGATTGCACAATCTGGCCAGATTTTGAGGAAAACCCTGTCACTGCCTGTTCCTTTAAGCTAGCAAAGCCCCAGCTGAAGGCTGTCTTTGGGACAGGCTCTACACTCTCAGCAGCAACAGAAGCTTTGTGTCTCTTGGGTTTTGCATTCCCATTCTTGTTAGGTGTAGCCAGGAGACCCCTTTGATTTGTTCTCTGGGGTTTTTTTCCTCCTCAGGGCTTTCCAAGTGCCACAGGGAAATCCTCCTGGCCAAAGTGTTTTTGTAACTATTTTAGCTTTGTGACGATTTATTTCTTCTTCTAACTCTCAGCATCTGAATTGGGTGATTTGAGAAAACAGTCCATTAAAAGGAGGATACTGTAGAGTCCTGATGAATCCTGTTTTCTACTTGGCCGGTGGAACAGAAAGCTAATTGCCAGTAGTAAATCCATTCAAAGGAGGGCTGGAGGGAGGGAGAAAAGCTAATATTCCTCCTTGAATGCCATTTAATCTCTGAAACCTTTCATGCAGATGTAAATTAGGATTTGCACAACAGAGTCAACAGTTGCTCCGTAGATAAGGCAGATTTGCAACATCTGCTTTTCCATTTGAGAAGCTCTTCCAAAGTCTCTGTCGGGGACAGCCAAGCTAAACACTAGAGATTTTTTTTTTTTTCTTTCCGTAATCTCTTGTTTATGAAGAAAGCTGCATATGACAGAACTAACCTGGTTATCATTCTGCTAATTCTCTAGGAAGAAAAAAGTTTGCTTTCCTCCCAGCACAGATCTAAAAAAACCCCACGGGGAAGTTTTATCATGGGTGGTAGTACAGTGCAGCACACTTGTCAACATCTGTGGAAGAAACCTTGTCTGGCAACAATTGCACAGGCCACTGCAGTGGTAATACAATATAAACAATATAAACAGAGGCCACTGCAGTGGTAATACAATATAAACAGTTTACCTTGCATTATTATTAGGAAAGCTATTTTAAGCTTTTCCAGAAGAATTACCCCCCCCAGCAAACACGTGCAAGAGGTGAAAGATACAGTGGCACCTTCAAATGACGGAGGCAAACCCTTTTCAGACGTGGTTTCCTGAAGGCACTTTTCTCTATCATGGTTTAGGCTTTTACAGAAGCAACCAGATTTTTTTATTTTTGCTGAGGTTTGAGCCCCATTGAGCAGGGGGCAAGACCCGGCTGAACGCTATGTCAGGAAATGGTGTTGCTTTGACAAAATGCCCTGTGCCACTGTGATTGCCCCTTCTTCTTGGGGCGGGTGTGTGCTCTGAGAGGGATCTTGACCTTTAAGGGGCAAAAAAGGATGTATATTTTATATAATACTTTTTATTTTATATATAATATCGTATAAATAAATTGCTATATAGGATATTATGTATGTATATATGTATGTACAGGTATATGTAGATATAAAAATATGTTTAATATTATATATATAAAACTTCTATTGATATTTTGCTGTGACAGGCTGGTGATGTGCCCTTTGGGGCAGCAGGGCCATGGCCAGGCAGGGATGCTCCTCCACTGTCACCCTGGTTGCTCCTGCAGAAAGAAGAGGGAGCTTTGCCTTGTGTAAAGCACTGCCAAAAATACGTGTATAAAAAAACGTGCCAGCAGCTCCCCGCTGTGCTGTGAGGGTATGTGGTGACTTTAGGTGAGCTCGCTTTGCTGCGGGGGCCGCTCCCTCGATCTTATCTGCCCTGAGAAGGCAGGTACTTGGGGAAACAGGGCGATCCCACGATCTTATCACCCCCACCTCTCACGGGGGCTGCTGCTGGGTGCAGGGCCCGGGGCTGGTTCGGTGGTTTTCGGGTGCATGGCCTGGGGATGGTGTGATGGTTTCCAGTGTTCCACTGGGGCACGTCCGTCTCCCTGGGGGACAGAGGGATCAGGCACATGACAGGGTGCTCGCAGGGAGGTGGCACTGGCACCACTTGGCACCCTTGCTGGCTGCTTTTTAAGTTCAGGCAGATCCCAAATGAACAACCTTCGGCAAGAAAAGTGTTTTATTCCCCTTCTGGGCAACAGGGTTTGCTCTTTTCAGTGCAGAAGTCCCGAGGTGAGGTGGGGAAGAGGCCCTGTCCCATGAGCAGCCACACAGGTATTGGGAAAAACACTGTTGGGGGGTGAATAATACTATGGGCTCCTATTAACACCAGGTGGGACACTTACTTAGAATAAACAAGAGCTAAGCATAGAATCATAGCATCATCTAGGTTGGAAGGTACCTTCAAGATCATCTAGTCCAACCATCAGCCTAACCCTGACAAAAAAAACCCCACACGTCACTAACCCGTGTCCC